CATCCCGTCATTCACAAACACAGCTACATCAGAAAGCAGTGGCGACACCTACTTGTACTGCAGTCGTTCCCTGTGTAGCCTGGGTTACATATGCAAATCTGTGGGTTCACGGGGTCACAGGAGCCGTAGACACAGGCAATAGAGCCGCACACAGCTGTGAACAGAAACACAAACACACAAATAAATCATAAAGCAAAGTTGGGACTCAGACACGAAAGCTTACATTTTTTGTACGAGAAAAGCTGTGGACTGAAACACAACTCACAACATTGAATCATAAAGCAAAGTTGACAATCAAATAAGAGGCTCCGTGGTCACATCAGGCGCTCGTCAAAATGATGGAATTGAAGATATCGGCAATTTTCCAACAGTTTTGCTATTTTAATCCAAATTTAGTATTTTTGGTTAAACACCTATTCTCTCCATCTAAAAACACATTTCTGTGTTAGTATTTCTGTAAAACGTTCTGAAAAATGTAAATGTTCAGTTTCTAAGAACTTTCAATCTTTGGAAGCCATCAAGTTTTAGTTGCAATTTTCTAACTAGTTTTACCTCTGAAACCAGGTGACCCCCACCTCCTTCAATCGCAAATACATCGATTTCTATTCAAGATACAAGAGTACTTGTTTCCTAGAAAGATAGACACATTAACAAGTTTTAAGAAGATACTAATAACTCCACATGCTCAACAATTGACGAGCGCCTGATTCGACCACGCCTTGACACAAGTGTGAAAGCTTTCATTATTTGTAAAAGTAAAGTTGTAGAGTTGTGGTTCATAAGACGCATGCTACGTATCCCATGGACAGCTAGAAAAACAAATGAAGAAGTCTTGGTTGAAGCAATTTGCAGAAGACAGCTCATGACGAATATACGAAAACGACAGGCAAATTTCTTCGGACACACAATGCGGAAAAAAGCATTGGAGAATATTGTAACAACAGGCAAGTTTGATGGAAAGAGAGGCAGAGGCAGACAGAGAGAAAATATACTGGACAAGATGACAACATGGCTAGGAGCAGGAAGAACAACAGACACCATTGCTGCAACACAAGACAGAGTGAAGTCGAGGTCCAAGATCGCCCACGCCAGTCGGCAAGGCACCGAATGATGGTGAAAGTTGTTCCCGCATCCGATCCGGACATTGGGGATTGCCTTGTTAGTGAGACAACTTCCTGGGTCTTCTGCATATCCAATTCTGGTAAGGTGTACATCATTTGTACTTCTTTTTTTTTAAAAAAGGTTTTTAGAAAAAGGCTGAAGGGATAGAACTCATATGGCCTCTGGATCGGAAAAGTAAAAGTTAAGTAAAAGTTTTAGTTAAAGTTTTAAGGCACTTGCATCACAATAACGTCCTACAATAAGTGCAGAAGGCAAGAGGTTGTGCAACAAAGTAACAGACACTTAAAAGGCACTTATAAAATGATCTTATTGTGTTGCAAGTGCCGTAAAACTCTTACGAAAACTATAACTAAAACACTAAAAAGAAGGAGGAGAGACAATAACTATAACTAATAAAATAATAATCATAATGGATTGCATTTATATAGCGCATATCCACTTATGCAATGCTCTATGCGCTTAACTTGATAACTAAAACACTGAGAAGAAGGAGGGGAGACAAGGATGATAGACGTTCGATAGAGAGAAAGAATGAGCACCAGTTTGTTCTCAGTTGCTGTCACTTCCCCTCAAACCGATCTGTTTTGGAATCACTAGCCTACTTTTCGAGCATGTTGTGTAAAGAAAGAGAGCTTTTTGAGGTCAAAGTTTTCCAGCACAAAAAAACCATCGATCTCCCCCCTCATCTATCTGTCTGTCTGTCTGTCTGTCCGTCCGTCCGTTCGTCTGTCTGTCTACTGTCCGTCCGTCTATCCGTCCATCTGTCCGTCCGTCTCTCCGTCTGTCTGTCAGTCCGTCCATCCATCTGTCAGTCTGTTTGTTTGTCTGTCTGTCTGTCTGCCCGTCCGTCCCAGAGTCGGTCAATCTGTCTGTCTGTCTGTCTGTCTGTCTGTCCGTTCGTCCGTCTGTCCATCCATCTGTCCGTCCATCCGTTTCGTCTGTCCGTCTGTCTGTCGGCTGTCTACTCAGGCGAGCGCTAGTTCTCCGAATAGCCCAGATACTGTGGTCTACTCACGTGTTTCGCAGTGGTCCCCTGTGTAGCCAGTTCCTGTACAGTTACACTGGTACGTTCCGATCTTGTTCACACAGGTTCCCCGGCCACACTTTGCACTCTCGAAACATTCGTCCACATCTGCCGGGGAGAGGGACAAGACGCAACTTAATAATAA